TTATTTTCTTATATATTTCATTTTTATTTTATTTTTATTTTGATAACATTTGATTAAAAAGACACACATTTTATAACATGACTGTGTCTTCAATCTTAGAGAATTTCAGATTTGTAAGTACCCCCAGACCTGTCATTTAATTAATTGTTTTCTATTTACAATACCCTAATGTATTCTTTAAAAAGTGCTCTTATTTCTTCTTCTTTTCACTTCTTAAAGTTTGTTTTTTATCCCTTCTCTCAGGCGAGTGCACCATCGGGGGGGGGACACCGCCCCGGGCGTTTGGGCGGACAGCGGCAGTACCCACTGTCAAAATAACCCCCTCCTGTAGAGAGATGGTGGAAACAGACTTGTTGTTGGACAAAGAGATGAAGCACATGGACCTACTGCTCTCTGCGAAAGGACCCTTCGTTCTGCCCGCGACGAAGGGGAGCAGACTCAGTCTCCATCTTCATTGTTAACCACTCTTCCATCAGTTCAGTAATCGTCACTGGTGAATTTTAAACAGGCTTTTGAAAGGCTTTTTTTTCCTGCTTCCACACAGGAAACAGACGGATAGATTTTAGGCTTGTACCATTCATACGAGAAACTGAAAAATAAACGTGTTGCTCCCCTCAGATCTAACACTGTTAACAGAACGATCAACACATGGTCATGTTTTAGGTTTCCCTCTTTGTGTCTGAAGTCCAAATGTTTGATTGTTTGTATGTGTGAAAGGATAGAAAGAAAGACAGTGGCACCTTTTAATTTCAGACTGTGGTGTTAATCTGTAAACTGGAGATGGCATTTTGTGTGAGAATAAATCCAGTGTGTCGTTTGCTTTTCCTCCAGTGAAGGAAACATGTTGCACGACACACAAGAGACTGGATACAGATGGATAAAGATATTCAGATATTTATTTAAATGTCCTCCTGCCCATAAATAACTCTTGACTTAAAGATGTGTCGGGGTCTTGCGTCCCCTGCAGTTTGATGGTGTCACCAAAACAAGGGGTCTTCAGAACAGCAGGAATCGGAAATAAAACTGTTTTAAATGTTGCTTAAAATAAATCTATCCAAATGTTTGTATATCAGATTGATTGTATTTATGAGCTGTAGGCAAAAAGCTGTGTGTGTGTGGAGAGCAACACATTTTTTCTGATTAGCTTTGAAGAAATGCTTCTATGATTCATCAGAGAGCAATGATGTGGATTCCTATTCTGATCGTTTGTATCGGCCGCTTCTGCAGACAAATAAATCTTTATCTAAATTGTGAAATGAGTAACTTGTACTCTTAAATACTTCCTTGTCATTTTTAATTTTCTGATGTGATTTTTTATTTGAATAGTTTGTCATCCCAAATGTTTGATTTAATGATTTTGTAGACATCCGGTTGTGATTTTTTGTTTCAAAGAAGGAAATAGTTATTTTCCAAGTGTTTAGAATGTCTCATTAACATAAAAGAGTGAAAACTAAATGGTAATAAAGTTATTTTTAAGCTCTGTAGCACTTTGAACCATGTCTATTGGTTTTATTCTTGTTTTAAAATGAAGTGAGTGTTAATATTATAAATGAGCCCTATCATGCTCATGTTCAGTATGTAGTGTCTCTACTTTAAAGAGTCCTCTCCTGCTGATGTTCAAGTGTATATCAGTATGTAGTGTCTCTACTTTAAAGAGTCCTCTCCTGCTGATGTTCA